TCCAAACCAACAAAGCAAACTTAATAAAGTTTTATTATTTATTCTAGTATGAGTTAAATACGTAAATAGATTAATCAATATAACATTTTAGATGTTTACTTTAGAAGACTACTAGTATTCTTTAGAACATTTAATTATAGAAGTAAAGCAGCATGTTTATTGTACATGTGTGGCTAAGTTGAGAAGCACGGTAATAAGTAAGGGTGTTCTTTATTTCTGTTATACTACTCATAACTATCTTCTTCTTCATCGGGATTCAGTCCATGTTTTTGGTCCAGGGAGGGTCAGGTTCATCGTTGACCTCTTTCTCCCTCTCAGGAATTGTTATTTTGTTTGCGCTGTTACTGAATCCTAGGTAATAACCCTTGTGAAGTTGTTGTTGCATTACTCACAGTATGTTAAATTTTGTCCACTGTCCGCATTTTAAATTAACATACACTTTCGTGCCACGTCCAGTTCATGGGGTAATATTAACTCGTATATTTTCACTAGCTTCACTTATGTATGATCGCACTATTAGTCCGTCTTTACAATGCAATTCCACTTAGCAGTCATATACACACACACACACATAAACATATGTTTACATACAAAACCCTTTTAAAATAGAGCTACGTTTGTGTCTAGGATTCAGTTAGCCTAGCATTGTTTGGCCTGTAAGTTTCATATTCATGATGTTTAGAGGGGAGAGGTACTTAGAGCTTGGTTCATCATATATTATTTAACTCTCTAGTTTGCTCATCAGTTCATTTTAATTAATATTTTTCTTATAATATTGAAGCGAGTTATCCAGGAGTTGTTTCACATCATTGAACACTACTGCAACTCCCGGAACTCAAACATATGCTCTCTTATTGCCTTAAGGATTTGTGATGTAACGTCACAAACATATATATCTCTGATTATTAGAATGAGCTGGTTAATAGAAGCTGCAAAGAATCGGTTCATGTAATTAAATTTTCATGGCATTTTTCTACAAATCCTTTGAATTTGAAAATATGATGAAATATCTTATGCAGTGCTCGACGCTTAGCTCAATGGACCAAATATCGAGATTGAATACAGTAATATCAATATAATTGTCAATCTACATTATATCAAATATTCAGATACGTGTGAAATCATTTTCTGAATAACTATTAGGTTTACCTGGCCCTTGATGTAGCAAAGAAGGAGTAGTTTTAGTTAAAGAGCACACTTATGTGATATAATGTTCAATGCCATTATGTTGCTTCCAGATAGAGCTGGAGGTGGTGTAATAGTGTGGGAAATGTTCCTCGTGCAAGGGGTCGGATTCTTTGACCTTATTAGGTGGTATAGTAACATATAGAGTGAACATTAATGCCGATCATGCCAATAACATATCGACTGAGCACTGTTGTCAATCGTGTCTTGTCAAAATACTACATTTACATCTTAACGAATAAGGTTTTCCTAAGACGAAATTACAACAATCCAACAAACTCTAATATTGTTCAAAATACGTTTAAAAAGTATGGCATTGGTTTTAGTCCCACCTTTGTTTTTTGGTCCACTTATTGGATTCACTGAGACTCAATTTGACTGATTCCCTATGAAATAAGTTTGATCGTCGCATTCTCTATCGTAATTCTTTGTCGACATCTGTGAATTAGTTCTAAACTATACTTTTCAAAGAATTCGCTAGAACTGAAAATGACACCAGCATCTTTTGAGATCTATGCCAAGCCCAGTCTAGGTTATTATTACGCCAAAATGTGTCGAACAGGACATTACGTGAAGATCCTAATAAGAGGTCAGGCAGCATATTACCTCAGGTTAATACGGTAATTTACGACAAATGGGCATGCCATGTGTCGTTAGAAAGATCTCCCTTATAAATTGTGTTTAAAAATTGGCCTACATAACTTTTTATCAAAATATCATATATGTGTATATATATATATATATATACGACATTGAATAAAATTATCACTATATAATGTTGATCTAATCAAATAGTATTAAATTTTTACCGTGTTGATGTGTTCCTAACCTTTAAGATGGTATTACAGCGAACGAAAAATATGGTAATCTGATGGTGCCATCTCTGCATTGACAGAACGCTGTAGATTGAGGAGCTCGAAATGAATTACTCCTTTGACGTCCCACCAAATGCAAAACACCAATTTCTGCGGATGGAGTCCAGATTTTGGGGTCAGAAGTAGTTATTGTCTATTACTGAGCCATGTTTTTGGCGTTTAATATTCGCATAAAAAATCAATTTTTCGTCAATGGTGACAATTCTGCCCAAAAATGGTTCACGCACATTACGCGCCAGAAGAGAGGAAGCAACGTTTACACGTTGGAAACGATGATCATCGGAGAGTTTGTGAAGCACCCAAACACCTTCTTTATAGAGTTTTCCCATATTAATTAGACGTTTGCGTATTTTTTCATGAGAGACATGCACTTTAAAGGCCATTTCACGAGTGTGTTGCCTTGGGTTAGATTCAAGAAGAGCCTTCAGAGCATCAATATCAATTCCAACATGTTGGCCTCCGCCATCACAGTTTTTAAGGCTAGAATCACCTGAATGAAATTTGCTGAACCATCGTTG